CGATTTGTTATGAACTGTAATCGATTGCTATGTAATAACTGAATGCAGCTCGACTTGGATTAAATGCGACACTTCTACGTTGTTGAATTTCAGTCCTTCGATCCCGTTCAACTTCGTTGCTCGTCCATTGGACTTCTTCGTATATATGTTTGACTCGCAGCATTGCAAGTTCTGCGATATAGGTTGGTACGCGACTTTAAAGTAAAATAAAATCTGACAACGCCGCAATGCCAGACGCAAATTACAAATATTTATTTTAAAACGTTGTTGGAAATAACCTTCACCAATGGTATTAGGATTTTCTTGGGCCCACGTGTGAGGATTATGGAAATTTAATATCCCGTCTCGCGTAAAAGTACATTCGTCTGTCGCTAGAATGTTTTTAAAAAAATCCGGATTTTCAATGTTTTTGTGCAAAAACCACTGACAGAATGTTAGTCTGCGAGGATAGTCTTCTGGTAACAAGGCCTGCACTCGTTGTACATGGTAGGGACAAAGCAAATTTTCCCGTATGGACTATGGTATGCGATAGTATTACGCGGCGGCCTAATTCCCGAGTCCTGATATCTGCACTGACTTCCACGATATTTATAATTTGTTCCTCCTGCCCTACAGTAACCTGTGTTCCATTAGTGCGAATATTAGTGGGCTGAACACTTCCTGTATCTCGAATTCTTTGGTACACTTGCACAGATGTCTTGTCTGGGTGTACCCGTTGGCAAAATCTGTCGCGATAAATTTGAGCTACAGGATTTGAATTCTGACGAGCTTCACCGTCACCGTCACAACATGTCGGCGAACTCTTTATTTGAGAACATTGTAAATAAACACGACGACATACGCGAACAATAAATAACCACTGTTACCGCTTGCAGTCGATTGCCGGTTCGATAAGAGTGATGAATGACCAACGCGCTGTTGTCATGGGTGTTTTAAATATTTAATTTAATGAAACTTACTTACTGACTACAAGTTTTGGCTTGACTTAGAAAAACTTAATGCCATTTATTTGTTAATTATCCAATTTAAAAACGTTTTGGATTAGATTATAAAAATTAGTAAGATTGTGGTAATTGTGGTCGATATAAAGCACTTGAAGTTGTAAAATATAAAGCCATTCAGACAAAAATCTATTGACTTTTGGACCATGGGTCGTATGAACTTGTTGACTTGTTTTGGCCCCCCTATTCAGATATCAATAATGACTACCATAACGTTTACACCCTGTATATATATATATATATATATATATGTATGATAGATAATATTTGGATAGTGCTCCCAGGTTTAGGGAGATTTTACCCTGAGTGATAGGTAATCAAAGATCGTCACAATTAACAACATTTTTATTAATCATTAAAATAAATAAAGTGTGTTAGATGGATAAATATAACAAAAATACAAGTATGCAAGATGACAAACTTTATAGCTAAATTATTTTTGGGAAAATCGATTTTGGTTCAATAATATTCTGATGAATTCCTGATCCGTGACAAAAAGAATTACACATGTTTCTAAATCACTCAGTCAACTTTAAGACCTTTGTCATAGGATCGGCTGCAGTATTAATGGATAGATGTTGCACTGAAACAAGACCGTTGTTCTCTAAGACTGCTAATCTTAACAAAATCAAACCCTATGTATTTTTGAGGTAAAGGTGTCTGAATTTCTATAAATATAATTTTGGACCACTATTATAGAGGGAGTATCAGCAATATTTCGTTAGTTCTAGTCCGGACCTGACGATCTGAACGAGTTGGCTTAAACGGACATTATCATAATATGCAGACCTAGCTGGTCACTACCCTGTCAAAATTTTGTTAAATTACGCGTTATTGTTCGAGTTATTTAAAAAAAACGATTACCAGTAGTGGTGAGAAAGCTTTTCCGGTGAAACGAGGGTAGTCTTCCACCACTCGTCATTTTGAATTTGTTGACGGTTTTTCAAGATTTTCTGTATCGTTACTCAACAGTAATAACCGCACTATCAATTTATGGCCTTAAATGAGTGGGACCTAGTCGTACGAAACAAATTTGAACCATTAAATTAGAAATCGGTTTTTTATTTAGCAGGCTCTGAAACGTATGTTCCGCTGTAATATCTAAACCGAACTGACTTAACCACTTAAGCGTAAAGAACACCAATAGGCACGCGTATATCAAGGCCTGATTAGGCTGCTGAGGGTGGCTGATACTTTGACTGGTTAATCTCCGCACTGTCCCGGTTATCCCCTAATGGTTGGGGTGATGAGCTCCATCGTAGTTGCCCCTATGCAAAAGGTAAGGTCCTGTTGCACAAATAACGAAAACATTCTTAGACACCGAGTATAGAAAAACTGTCAGGAATCAGTAGATCACTGATGAGTCAGGACCGTTATTCTCGTTCTTTAAATTGAAAGTAATACGTTTTCAAAACGCTTAGCGAATCATGTAGTACGGCAAAAGCATTCGGCTTATACCGGGTGTCCGCAAAGTTGGGGTTTTCCTTTTTAGGCAGAACTACGCTTGATATAACAAAGTTAATGTGTGGTGAAACGTGAGCGAACAAATAAAAAAAACAAATGAGACAGTACTCACTGTTCAGTTCAATTGAAATACAAGTACGGCTCTATCCTAAAATCCGTATTTGCATCCTAGTCGTACGTCGTCAACTGTACGCTAGCGCTGGCATTGTGGACGGGATCGAGGGATAGGGCAGGACCGGCTTCGGTTATATGCTACTGAAAAAATCCGCTTATTTTCTTAAGATCTACACGTCGCGTCGTGTAAGGGAAAACCCCAACCTTGCGGTCACCCTGTATAACCACGTTGTTGCGCGAACGCTTTCAGTTCAATTCGCCTGACAACGATGCTTTTTCAAAAGTGATCAACATAATCTTGGTTGAGAGAAATTTCTGGCAGGGAGTTATAGTATGATTTCTGTGTACGTCAAGTTGGTAGGTTCCAATAGCAAGGAAACGCAATGCAGACAGAAAAATAATACCGTATTTATATGGGTTTATTGAGATAATAGGTAGTTAGACATTCAGTTATTTTATAATAAAAGCATCACTGCTCCATTACTATTATAAGTAGTTTTGCTCGATTACCTATGACTCGCGAGCTCTAAGGCACTCAGAGAATTCAAAGGGGTCATCGGCCTCGGATCTGTAAAATATATAGTAATAATTGGGGAAAGACGGATAAAGAAAAGTGGCATATGTTTTCATCCGTAAAATTATTTTTGCCGTTAACGAATTTTAAATTGGTATTTTGACGCATATACCACATAAATATAATTGAATTCTGGTACTGTTTTGAAAATTCAAGTACTCGCCGAGCTACATGGGGTCCCTCAAATACCCAAAAAACGAGATTTCCAAAAAAATGTTTTACGAACTATTAGAGATATCACGCGTCATGGCCGTCTGTAACATTTAAGCAAGAGAAGAGCCGACATACTCCCATATATCTCGAAAATTACTAATTTGCGCAGTAGATAACCTTATACAAAATTAGGCGTATTCTCAATACTTTTTAGGATGGCGTTATAAAAAGAGGTAAAAACGTTGAAAAACAACCCAAAAGGAGAGGGTATTGTATAAACATTTTGGAACCCTTCCTTAAGCATATATATAAATAGATAAATTGAGAAAGAATAATTAAATAATAGCCATCAGCCAAATATACTTGAATAACATAGTGAACACATTACAACCGGTATATAAAAGTACATTCTACATTGAAACTGTATTAATGGACAAGTGAATAACTACAGAAAAAAATTTATAAATGGAGAGACAAAGGGTCATAACAGCAAAGAATATACCGAACTTGCGATTACAGTACATGCAACTGACACAATTAAATCGTATTAGTACACACCTTTTTGCCTATTAGGAAGATACAGCCTGTAAGTATGTTTTGAACCGCTGGAATTTTCCAAACCAAACCTCCTTGTTCAAAATGGTTGGAGCCATGTATCTGAAACTACTTTTAGATTGGAATAACATTTCTCGTATTTAAATTATGAACACCAGAAAGCCGCGTTAAATTGTTATAAATGTATGATGGTCTTTTATATTTATTCAGCTTATTGCAATTCGGTCTTTCAATCATATTTCAGATAACCCAAACTTTTGTAATGTGGTGATAAATGTTGATAGTGTTGTAACTGTCTCGTAAACAACATTTTTGTAGTACCTGAACCTTGTGCTTCAAGTTAGCAGTTAAATATCTGTAATAATCAGTTAAACCGTAGTCCATGTTAGGTAGTATAACTGTTCGCCATTTTAAATCGGTAGATAGAACGTATTTGGATCTCCAAAGGCTCCTAAACTTGAAATAACAGCTATTAATTTTACTAGTTATCTGAGATTCAAATCTTCCCTATATCAATAACCGACCCATTCAGTGTTATATCTTGGGATTTAATTGTGAGAGCACGGTTCACCATTACTCTACTACCGACAAAAATTGCCACAGATTTACTTGGATTTAGACGTAACCAACTTGTACGGACCACTCACGTAGAGCATATAGATGTTCATTCACCTCACTCACTAGTCTGTTAATGTCAACCGCTGCACCAGATGCACATGTGGACTTTCCATTGATACTTGAGGATGTTGGGATGCTGTGTATACCAGTATACTGAACAGTGAAGGTGCCTTGAGATCCCTGATGCAACTGTCCTTTCACTAGATGGTTCTCCATTGGGCTTCACTATTTACTTTCTATTTGCTAAGTAACTTGTAATCCACTGTAACTCTGATGCTTTCACACCATAATGAGACTACTTGGCTATCTAAACATTATGGTCAACCAAGTCGAACGCTTCTCTAAAATCGACTAATATCACTAATGTCACTTCTAGGTTATTAATGGAAGCGGTCATGTCGTTAGTTATGTTCATCAACGACGCTGAAGTGGTACTGTGATGCTTTCTAACACCTGATTGAACTTCATGCAGAGTATTATTGATGTTTATATGACATAACAGTTCTGTTTCAACAATTTTTTCAATAAGCTTGGACATAGTGGGAAGTATAGTCGTTGCTGTCATCCAGTTGTGTGGCTATAGGTAATTTTGCTAACGGTAGAACAACCGAGCGTTTCCATATGTTCGACATGATTAACGAGTTGAATGAAGTATTGATTATATGGCATACAGTGTGGTTGATGTACGGGAAGATCATCTCTAACATGGACAAGTTGATACCATTAATAGGGCTAGCATTAGACTTGATTGATCTGAAAACATCCTCCACCCGCTCAACAGGTACCTCCATAAACCTATTCATAACTACGCTATGGCATTCGTTACTAAGAAAATAATTTATCGTATCTGTGGACGCGTTAATACCTACCAGTGATCGGATAAAGTGATCATTAATGATATTAGGATCAAATATTGATTTACTAATGTCGAATCTCTGCCTGGTATGAACATTCAGATTAGACAGACGTTGCCACAGTTTTCGTGCTTTATTCTATTTTTGACCACCGTGTATTATTTGTTATCGTTATGAAGTAAGTTTTATTTAACTTATCTGTTAACAATGTTGCAGAATCTATATAGTAAACAGCAGTTATTTGGTTTCTGCAAATGATCTTATTAATATATTAATTATTCAGCACACTGAGGAATATCCCGATGGACAAATCTTACAAAGAGGTGTCATAAATCATACTCCGTGGCTTAGTACTAATACATATAATACAGCTTGAATAAATGCTACTACAGGAGCTCCAGTCGTAGTTCAAGTTCTCTTATGTATGAAAACCGTGTCTTCATGAAAAGTGATACAGTTAGGGTAGAACTTTTGATGCAAAATTGATTTATACAAATAAAGTTCACATTAGAGATATTCTTTACATCTACCAAACTTCTCTCGGTAAAGGCTTTTCAAATTTTCAAATTTTGTGCTGCTCTTTGGTGCGGAGTACAGCACAGTGGAATGGTCGATAAATTTAATTTGTAACATTCATTCCATTGAAGCAGTGCAGGATACATTTTTTAGGCAACTATTAAAATCGGTTGAAGTCAAAATACTTCAGTACTAATGAGTACGTTAAACATAGACTAGTTGAAATGCCACATGGAACTTTTTGATTTATGTTTTCTGTTAATGATGTCATAGATTGCCCAGAGGTGATTGCACAAATAAGTCTTAATGTTAATAAAAGGCGAACTCGCTGTTTACGACTTCAGATCAGTTTAAAAATCATCATAAATCTGTCAACGCTGCTGTAAGCTGCAATATAGATATTTTCAGTAGCAATATTAACATCAAAAAGCGCATGAAGAATATTTCTATTTAACTTTTATGTAATGGTAAATAAATAAATATCTATCAGAGTAGGTACCCTACTATAAGTGTCCCGTTACAAATCATAATGTTCTTGAATCCTAAGCCATCGCTGCGGTTCTACGTGAAACACCCTGTATTGACTGATGCTCTGCCATGCTGTAGCGTGGTATCTCAATACGTATCGTCGCGCCATCCCTTCTCGTCAGCCGTTACAACTTACGACGGAAGTCGCGATCTGACGAGCTCCAGATTGAAGTTGCCTCTTCATCTCCTCTCGGCTATATTTATCGCTTGCACAGCTAATGAAAACAGCTGTTTGCTTGCTTGCTGGAGTATCTCTACAGAGTTAATCGACATACCGAGTGTCTTTGACGTGACGGCAGGGGGAATAACCGACTGCTTTCAGTTTATGGATGAAACGAGTTTGAGTTCCTCAGATGGGTTTAACAACCAAAGGGATATGCAGATCCTAACTTCAGTACGAGGATGAGGACGATGGAGGTAAAGTAACATATTGAGTGCAATGAACAAATGTAAAATAGTTTTAGTAAGCAAAAATAAAAAGTAAGAGCGTTAAACACAAGAAAATCTGTGGCGGTCTGCCATCCCCTGTCCTGAAACGAAGTAGTCCATTAATTTTGTAGTTTATTGAAATTACGTTGGGTTCTTATATAAATCTGGTATTTGATAGGCTACTTGACTCTTATATAATGTCATAGAATATATTCAAGTAATTTTTTCAGGCTTGTGCCTTAGGAAAACGATAAAAATATTTAAAAGTGCAAGATGGATATATAGGTCCAATTTCAAGAAGCATATTTTTCATTTCTAGTACGGGACATTGAAAACACTAACGGCCATGATGTGACGTCATACAAAATGTCACTCGTGGACTAAAGTTGTGTTCTTTAAATATTTCTACAAAACTTCTAATCAGCGTAATAAGTTATTTTTTATTCCTTATATTGAAAAAAACAATCATGAGCGCTGAATTCGTGAAAGCAGAAAGCACAAATTTGACGAAAACTGACGCATTGATGGTTTGTAATTTTTTTTTGCATTCAACTCAGATTTTTGAACTACTGAGCAGGGAAACATCAATACTTCTATCTGAGTACAGTGCAGTTTTCGTTTTCAAAAGTTATTAAAAGCTATGCTCATGGGTCATAACTTCTGAATGAGTTTATCTAATATTGTATTACTTCTTACACATCTGCAAGGGAATCGTACGGTCATCATGCCGTAGGTTAGGCCCAACTTAAGCGACACGATAAAATCTGCATAGTAAAATGTAAAATATAATTATATGCTCAAAGAAATAAACAGCTTGGCGTATATTTATTTCCCTGGGCATTCTAATCCTCAGATCTCCTGGGGACTTTAGCGATGTGTTTCTACATTCTCGGACGATACAATAACGAAATTTACTATAGTTTTTATGTAAACTAGAAGAAGTCATGTTTATATGATTGAGAGTTTGAGAGACTCTGCTGACAGCTACTGCATCATTTATAATTTAGTACCACAATCGTACAAACAAATTATTCATATGCCATTTCATACACATTTGTTTTCGTATTAATTCATCCTTTCTGCATACCCTATTAACAAGTGCTTTATAATCGTGACTGCATATCGTCGGTCTCCGCACGTACAGGCGCAAATTACAAAAGAATATCTAAAATCGACTTACGCCGTAATTTCACATATTTTTTTGTCTCTCACCTCACGAAGTGACGTAACTATATATCAGTCCGCCGCTTCGAAATAAAATTCTTAAAAATTTCGTAAGTGATAAAATTCCGAACACAATTTTCACTTTCTTAAATAGACGCCTCTGCGTTAAAATTGGTTTTCTATATTTGACCGATAATTTGACGACTTTTGAAGAAAGGAACCCACCCACTTAATATGAAAGATTCGGATTTTAGGAAAATAATCTATTACCAGCAATATAATTTACTGTAAAAAAAATCCATAATACACATATCGCTTTTGGTCTGAAATGAATGTGTTGTCATTGTCAAGACTTTAAAGCCTAATTGCTCAATAATTGTTTTTCTGGGTTGGTTCCTTTCTACAAAAAGCCGTCCAATTATTCAGCACGTACCGGCGCATGTGACTCTGATAACATGCAAGAGCTGCCTTAATTTCTTTAAAACTAATCATGGACAGAATGAGGGAGATTCAGCCAACAGTAATTTCCTCATTACTTCTCAGTTACACCCTGTAATACTTTTTGAGATCTAAACAGCCCAATATAGTCATTCCAATGAATTATAGTGACTTTCTTGATTTCAAATCATTCTCCAAGGAACTACAAATGTTAGCGGTAAAAGAGAGTGAACTAGGAAATAAAATAAAATGGTCAGACATGATGGAAATAATGGTAGAACAGGATGAACCTATGACACTATTTTTTAAATATAGCCACCAAGACCGCCATTATGACGGGTTAGTTTTTTCACAGTGAATTAAGGGCGACCTAAGTAACTTGCCGTTAAAACCTTTGAATGAAGTACTTACTAAGATATCCAAGAAAAAATATGAGGATCTTCCGTACCTTTATGCAAAGGAGAAACTCCAGTTATCCGTATTTCTTAATTGCAACAATTTTATTATTCTCTGCCCCATAAAAACTAGACAATCAGTTCAACTTTTAAAAGTATACTAAGTGACATATAAATCCGAACACCCAGTTTAAATGGTTTTATTTTAATAAAATTTTGTATAAGTACTTAATGAAGCATAATAAGTAAATGATTGCACTGCTTTAAAGCCCTTTGACCTTTAATAATGTGTGGGTGCACCCTGATGTGCTACGCATTCTCCAACGCGCCTAGGCATGCTTCTGATGAGGTGGTCAATGTCCTCCTATGGTATCTCATTCCCGGCATCCACCAACTCCTCTCGAAGTGCTTCTAGAGTCTAAGGAGGACGTTGCAAATTGAGCAATCTCCTACCCATCATATCCCACACGAGCTCAATTGGGGATACGTCGGGAGATCTTGGTGGCCATGGTAACAATGTGGCATCATTATGTTGAAAGAAGTCTATTGTGACTCTTGCAACATGTGGTCGGGCATTATCTTGTTGGAAAGTTGGATCTGCCAGGGTGTCAAGATAGGGTAAAAGATGGGGTTCTAGAACTTCGTGGATATAACGCTGCGCGTTCATGATACCTCTGATGAAGATTAAAGGTGACCTGGAACCATAAGCTATAGCACCCCAAACCATAACTCCAACAGTGTTATGAACATGTCTTTCAACAAAAAACTGTGGATTCCTCCTTTCACCACGTCGCCTTCTAACCCTGGCACGACCATCGTGCATGCCTAAACAAAATCGAGACTCGTCACTAAAGACAATACTGTTCCATTCCTGATCCCAGAGTGACCGTTGTCTGCACCTCTCAAGGCGATTACGTCGGTGTTCTCGAGTTAAAGGGAGGACCCAGTGTGGCCGGTATGAAAACAAGCCAAACTTCTCATTCTCGGTAAACACTTCGCATGCCAATAGGTCTTCCGTGTTCTGCAAACCATTCATTTGCAATGGACCTGGTAGTGGAGAAACGGTCCCTTAAGGCCAATAATCTTAGGCGGCGATCTTCACGGTCTGTTGTTCTACGGCGCCGTCCAGTGCCCCTTGCTCTTTCGTACGGCCTTCTCGAAGCCATGCCTGACAACACCTAACCACAGTGTCTACAGCTTCCCGAAGTCCCACTATACGGCCCCTATCAAACACACTAAGTTGACGAAATCGTACAGGTCTCCGTACTCTAGGCAGCGTAACCGATCGTAAAGGATGAAAAATCCGCCAACGTTGATTCTTAACTGCGGCTGAAATATTTATTTTTAGAGCGTTAGTGAATTGAAAAAAGCAGTATAAAAACCGGAATGTCCAACTGATAAGGCTGAAAATTTGTTCACTTGTTATTTACAGTAAGATAAATACATTCACCAACTTTTATTAAAATAAAACCATTTAAACTGGGTGTTCGGATTTATATGT